ACAGATATTCTGGCCAAAGAACAAATGTACAACATTATTTGAACTGACATTGCCAAGGCCCCCACCCCGGACACTGCCTCTAAACACTGATCTGAATGCAGCCTAGTAGAAAAATGATGTCTGTTAAATACTGCATGTACCATTTAAACGTACTGAAAAAAAAAAAGGGAAAGGATGGAGAAGGAACCAGCGCAGTGCACAATTAGAGCAGCTCATCAAGTGTTGTTTATTGTTGCATCATGTGAAATAAAATGAATGCCAAGTATGTTGCATAATACACCACACATATAGTTGCACATGCTAAGGTTGGTCTGTTCACTCTGATGCTGTTGTCAGTCCCAATAATGTTTGTTTCATACAAGTTCATTATGAGGTGGCGAGAAACTTAACATTACACTCAAAAATTTTATTATTACTTTGATGTATTATATAATGAAATAAATACAAATCAAGTTTATGGTGTGTTGTGTTCATTCTCTGCTTTTTGTGCTGTTCCAATGCAAACAAAAGAAATAAACATGAGAATGCCAAAGAATTTATGACTGAAATAATTTTCTGGGAAAAGTGGTGCATTATCTGACAGAAATGCTGGGGTGTCCATATTAGTGGCCACAACTGTATATAACGCAAATGTCAATGCAAGTCTTGTTCCACCACAAACTTACAACAGTCCCATTGATAGCAGTTATTAATTACAAATTGAGAGATTATTTTCTATACCAGTTTCATGAAAGTGCATGTCTGTGGATCTAACACATCTATGGCGTGAAGTGTGAGAGGAAACATACATAAGAAAGGCCCCAGCTGGTCAGCTGAACCAAACTCAGGATATTCTTGTTGTAATAAGACAAAGCTTCCCACTGAGTTGCTGTGCCCCCTGTTCATCATATTTAAAAGTGTAACAAGCCTTTTAATAATAAAACATGTCTTATTTGTATTTATATTAACATGACTTCCTTAGTAATTAGTAAGACAGTAGGTTACAATAGCAAATCAAAAGTAAAAAAAAAAAAAAAAAAGCATGTTTACAAAGTCCAGAGTGGCAAACTATCTGGCTGAAGTGATAGTGGCAATCACTGAACAACTGCAGTCCTCAGTGCAAACTACCAAACAAAAGTCAATCTTCAGAAATGTCTTGACTGTACAAGAGTATTTGGTCTTAGAGGTAAAGGGATCACACAACAGGTGCCCACACATCTCACTGTTGCATTAAGGGTCTAGTGCCACAATCTCAATGGTGACTTTACACTTATACACTGTACAAAATTTCATCAAGAACACAAACCCGCTAAAACCACAGCTCAACTTATCTTATGTTGAAAATCAAGTCTGTTTGTTTGATTTTCCAAATTATAGCACAGTATGACTGCAAAAATGCTAAATTATCATTGTCATCTTTGCATGTGGTTATACTTGGCCTGGGGGTCAGTGGTGCCCTGGCCAACAGGGCAGCAAGTCTATATTTAGGCTGCTGCTGCTGCTGCTTGGCAGTCGGATCAGTGTGAAAGGCAGGCACATGTTGTAAGACAACCAGTGGAGACACACTGAGAGCAAAGGTGGTCAATTCTTATGCAGACAGTTTGGAGTCTGTTCAAGCAATGGAAGACCTGTTAAATTCCTCTAGACAAGTGCTGAGATGAGCTACATGTTAAGTGCTTTGCAATAGATAAGGGCCAGTCAGGTCACTGGCTATGCAATAAACTCAGGGAACAAAACTAAGAATCCTGCTGTATATATGATTGTGACAGAGTGGAGAGAAATTTGATACCTGTTCAAATGTTAAATAAAAAAATACTTTCTGGATCTTTTCAAAATCCTAGTCATATCACAGTCAATGTCCAAGTCCCTCAAACTCAGCTGTTTTTATAATGTTAACAATAAATGGAAGAAACAACATGGCCACACAATTTCTATACTTTGGGTAATATCTGACTTGGCCTCAAGGGAAGAACTCAGTATTAAGAGAAAATGAAAACAAACAGCAACATCTCTGCTCTACTTCATCCTCTTGCACAACATACAGCACTTACTGAGGCCATTATTAAGTATGATTTTCATGTAGCTGTTAAACATACAACAGTAAATTTCCACTGTGTTGTGTGTGCTGCTACACAAGGCTCTTCTGTTGGTAAACAATTTTAGATAATACCAAAATGCAACTGACAACAGATAACATGACTTTATAAGTAGGCCCATTATCACTGACTGAATTGTGCCAATTCATTATTCTGCAATTAAAACCATTTCAAAATTGCAAATTACCCCCACAGTGCGTCTTTAACCAGCACTACACACCAATCGAGTTCAGGAGGCAATACATATATTTCACTACACTTAGTTGCTAAATAAAATTAATGATTAAGCTGTCAATCTCTCAATTAATCAGTCTATAGATGAGTGAACATGTCAGCACTGTGAAACTTTGTCCAAGCTGCACCACTGCTCTTGCCTAATATCCACAGGGTTCAGCTACAGACCCCCACACCAACCACACAACTCATTGAATAATACAAAGGGCTAGCTCTGTACATGACAAATACATACCACAAGACCAAACCTTTTCAATGTACAGAAACAAGGCAAAAAGCCAATAAAAAAATGCTTTTATAAAGCCATAGCCTGAGCTGGCTGGATTTGTACTGGAAAAGCAATTTTAACAATTCATTCAATTTAATTTTAATCATTAGCAGAAGATTTTTCCAATCAACTAACCACTTAACTGGCTAATTATTTCAGTCCTGCTCATACCCAGTGGTCCCGGTGACTTCACAACACCTAGGCATTCTAGTTTGATTTATAAAATGAAAACAACCGTTTCAAAAACATCTTGTAAAAGACCTTTCTGGCAAAATAACAAATCACAATCATCACAATATTTTTACTAAAACATAATATCAAGCTATTTGTCAAGTTGCATATGTCTGACTGCAATGGAATCGGCATATTTTTTACTGCCATACATGGCAATATTTTGCCATAACAGACACATGCCTGCAATGATAACCTCCCATGATGCCCATACATGTTCAAGTCGCAAAGAATACATAGTAACTGCCGAGGGATACCTTTGTACCCTCAAAGGAGAATGCAATGTTGTGCTTGAAAGACTTGGGTTCTCACATTACTAACGGACTGAGAAGTGAGGCTTGAGATGTGATACAGATATGCATCCCATGGGCCTGGGTGACCCGCCAAGTGTCAGCAAAACAAAGAATGTAAATAAATGGACTTTATCTGCTATGGTCTTGAAAGAGACAGAAGGGCTGTGCCAAAAATCACACTAGCCATGGTATACAGGTATAATTTCTCCCTATAATAAGAATTTGTCCTTCTCAAGATACTGACGATATGCAGTATGACAACAGTATACGTGCCTTAACATGGCATGCCCAGTACGTCTACAAACAGAACAAGAATAGTGGAAGAAGGGGTAAGCCTGATGGAAGAATTAATTCTGAAAAAAGGAGCTTCCTCTATTGTTTGGCTACAAGAGATCAAATGTGAATCAAATATTTATGATTTGTAACTTATATTGTAAGACCTAAAAAGGGTGCAAACACAAATTTGTTCCACGACCTCAAGCAAAAATGCCTACCAAGAATACAAGGAGAGCCAGAAGCAGTGTGAAGACAACAAAGCAGATGCTAGACTGACAACAAGTAAGCAAAGTCCTTTAATTCAGCATTTTTGCCTGTGACAACAGTAGTAAACGTTGGAACAAACTGACAGAGGAGGGGGGCACGTTGCATAACTGAAGACATGGTGCCAATCGAAACTGTTTACAAGGAGTGATTTGTAAATAAAATTCATGTTCTTTTTTAGCCTACCTAATTGGTATAGTTGGGATGGTGGTCAATCTTAAGTTTGACTTTTTGGATAACTATTTGCACATCTATTAAGACTGTCTGCAGATTTGACTTGTGGGTAAAAAATATGTTGAATACTATTTTCATACTGTTATTTATATTGTTGCCACAAATGTACAGTAAAAAATCCTGACAGTTTTTAGTCAATATCACCCAACACTGGGAGACAGCTGACATCCACTGCAAACCACGCTTGAGTGTGAGTGGAAAAATAAGTCAAGAGCAATGGACAGATGGAGTTTGACACTGGGATCCTCCTACAGTCAAACTAACAATTTTATCTTTAAATGTGTATCACATTTTACTGATAATAAAAATAAGAAGACACCACTTTTAACTAGTAGTGAATTTCACTGCCTAATACAAAACAGAAAGCAAGTACATTCAACCATAAGATTGCTTCGATGTTTCCAACACAAGCAAAAGCAGATCTTCCAACATCAATCTAAATATATGCATCCTACGAGATTATCAAAGTCGTGATGGGTTTACCACAAAGTTTCATGTCCGAATGAAAATGCTGCACTAACTCACATCCAACATTAATGACAACAGACACATTCCTCTCTGTCCGGATGTTTGTTTCGTCCTGAAAAAACTTTTGCCCCTCTTCCCAAACCACCATTAACTTTGTAATTTCTTGTGGCTCATATCACCTGTCAAAACTTTCAGTTCAGTTAAGAAGCCAAGAAACAAAAAGTGTTATATGCAAATGCATGTCATTAATGGACTCAAGTTAGTGTTGACAACTAATATGTGTCAAAAGATCAGTAACGTATACGTTAATTGAGCAGAACTTAATGGGGTACTGTTGGGAACACGTCCTGACACTGTAGCGCTCTACACACCGAGCGCTCAAGCAAACAATCGTTAAGCTAGTTCGAGAACTTATTCGGACAAGGTCCCCCTGGTATACGGGTTGCTTACTGAGAGTCTGTTAGCTCCCCTAATGCTAAAGTTTATTCTGTGTCATTTTCCATATGACCATCCGTGTTTTTATGTGACTATCAACAAACAGGCAACCAGCGTCTTACACCCAGAGCAGCTAGCAAGCGCGAGCTAAATGCTAACGTCAGTCGAGAAAAGTAGTTAGCTGCTAGCATTAGTTATCTATTATTAATTGACTTTGCTTACCCTTTTCCTGGCTGAATGATATTATTTCCTCCTCCTTCGGGTTGGAAACTTGGGTTATTATGGACATGTGGTCCATTTAGACGGGTGGTTATTCTTGTTTTGTTTCCCACAATGTGACAGTGCGTTTACTTCTTTTGCTAACTACGGTTAGCTAGCTAGCTGTTTAAGATAAGGATGACCAGCTAGCCCACAAAGCCAGACAACCGTCCAGGGCGAAGTGTTGTGGTAGCCAGCCAGCCAGCTAGCACGGTGGTCAATGGAATCCAGTTAATGGCTGTCATTTATGGCTCTCCGCAAAATATCATCGCTGCAAACAAATATTTTGTGGGCAATGTTGATAGCATATCTGTCTTTTAAAAAAACGACGCTGAATTGCTAACAAACTGAAGTTAGCAAGTTAGCTTTGCAGCTCCGTTGATCCAAACTGTGAGGCCGTGTCTGGAACAACGTTGAAAACACCAGGAAGCCCGTCGGAGGATTGTTTTGTCCAAAAACATTTATCAAACGCGAGTTGTTCAACGTTGGCTGACACTTTCAAACAAACAGTTCATGTCTTCTGGCCTTACATTCCCTGTGCAACATGGAGGCTTTATGTATTTTGAGTTGCTTCTGAAGCGGGGCCACTCCGAGTGGGAGGGGGCGGTTTGTTTCTGTGACGGATTCTCTCAGGCAGGCAGCACAAATTCGCCACACCACATAGTTCAACCCATGTTTCTGGCTGGGACACGGCCTTTTCAATCTTCCTTCGCTCTGCAATTATTGTACTGCACGCAACAAATTAGGTCTTTATTACTGACATAAAAATTATACATACATTTATGGAATATAAACACTTTGTACCACTGTATATGGCAAAACAGCCGCAGCTTTAACATGCAAATCGCAGCCAATTTGGACACCAAAGCAAATTGTTGATATTAACCTAAAAGCCTTGCTGCATGTTCTTTCCACGTTGATTAGTGGACATGTTTAAAAGGCGAGGGCGTCACCTAGTGTCTATCCTAAGAAAATGTTTCAAGTATACTCTACATTCATAATGATAAAATACAGTAGTTTATATTGCAGTGAAATACTGTATTACCACACCAGTCGCAGTATCAGCTTTGGAGCGCATGGTTTTTAGTGGTATTTCTAGGTTTTAACCAATTTAACGACTTTATAAGAATCCTATGACAGAGTATTAAAGAGGGTAGCCTAACCCAATAAAACATAGACTAAAAAAACAAGCAGCAGCGTTTGGACGTTTTAAATCTAATCTCTTATTTCATTTAGTAGATTCTGTAATATTTGCATGCCAAATTTAATGCATTTCAAGTCCAGACAATTACAGTTTTGCTTGAGTTTCACATCTGCTCCTACAGTGAACATACTGACTGATGCACCTGCTTTCCTCCTCATATTTAACAATTGTCCCGCAATGCTTTTGCGCTCCAGTAAGGTCAGGTGGGTTCGGTGTGGACCACCCCTCACTGCGGTGGAGCAGTGAAGGATAAATATATCCCCCTCCTCCTCCCCCTCCTCCCCTTCCTCCTCCCCTAGTTGAGTCCGCAACATCCTGACTGATCGAGGCTGGTGATCAGGCAGCGTCAGCCGCAAGTCTCCACAACACGGATGAATTAGAAAAGCAGCTGTAAACAAACCGTTTCCTTTTATTTATACTTTATGTTAAAGAGTCGGGGTGTAAACACTACTGCCCTCTTCTTGACAGTGTGAAGCGGATACAAGGTTAGTAAAAACATCTTTTGTTTCCGCATAAGGTTAAATATAAGAGTAACCATCAATGCCCGTGTGGCTCTGTGTGCATGGAGCAGTAAAAGAGTAAACCTGAATTTGTATGCAGGACGTTTTTCTGGGGGCCCTTCTTAGCCATGGTTACATCTTGGCATGGACAGGACTTGTCAGTCCAACTCCTTTAACTTTATCTCAGTGTGCGACATGAGCCTGAAATACAGAATCAATGACAAGTGCATTATTCTTCACTGGAGAATATTTGTTTTCCCATTCAGATGCACCATTCTTGGTCATTCCCGTTAGTGCTAATTATTGTGTGAAGTGAGTCCCCGTTGCCCCTCAGATCACATAGCAGTGCAGCTGCCCTGCTGTACAGCAGATCAACTGCAAGAGCTATAATAGGAAGGAGAGGTAGGGTTGCGCAGCTGACGATGCTGATTCCGAGGAGCCAGGGTTCTGCAGTCCTATTTAAGTCACTGGCCTGTCGATCTTAAAGGATTATTAGTAAAACGTCACCACGTTAAAACACCTTCGTCTGTATTAAGTCAAGAAGAGCATGCTGATTTGTGTTGGCACATTGGATAGGCCACACTGTATGTGTTTGAGGGTGTACAGTTTAAGCTTACTTTAGGCTGATTTACCACTTGGATGTATTGTAATTTGTTTATTGCTTTCAAGTAAATCTATATGAATGGTACTGACTACACGGAACAGTTGAAATTAATACAGTGATAGTATAGCATGCTGTATCTTTTGTGTTTTGTTTTGTTATTAGTAATTTTTATTGTTAAACCACACGCAGTATTTCTAAAACAAGGTTGTCAAAGTGCATGTTTTAATACTGAGGCCTCAGGCCTGACCACAACTTCACAAGTCTCTTCACAATAATCAATGATATTTCAGAAACACCGGTTCAATAAAAACGGATAAATCTCTTGAAAACATTTTTTTTATGTTCTGTTACCAGCTTTAGTTTATTTTTGTTCATGCTCATACCGTTTGCCTTCAGTCAGGTCTAATCTTGTGTGGCTTTCTATTCTGTTAGGCTCCCTCTGTACTGATTCACCATGGGGATCAAGACTGCCCTCCCCAGATATGAGCTGTATTTCTACACAGCTGTACTGGCTGTGGCCATGATATGGGCAGGCAGTTGGATATTTGAGGCTTCAAGTGGTGAGTGCACAATGTGTCAGGCGATGTCTGAAGCATACATACACATGCACACTGTCAGTGTCACAAAAAATCTGTAACACAGTGGCAGAACTTTGCTGATATTCACTGAAATTCATTTATATTTATCAAACACTTTTCCACTTTTCCAGCAGCCAATCTAGAGTTGCACCCAGTCAACACCTATAATTCAAATAAACCTCAGTGAAAAATCACTTGTATGTAACAATGTAAATTTATTATTAAAATCTCCTTCCTACTTAAAACACTGCTGTGTTGCACCTCAAACTAATTTCATGTAGCAAATTAAAAAAAGGCCATCCTCCCCCAAGGAATCCCTCCATGTTTTAATATGAAGACAATTTAAAAGTGATCCAGTTACGTTCTAATTATTTTTCTGATGGAGATATTTTAGTTTAAGTCTCACTGAGGACGAAGCCACCTAATTGCAAATATTTTATCCAGGATGAAAAAATGCTACAACACACAGAGATCTGAATGGACTGAGTGTGATGTGGTGAATGGCACTGTCTGTCACTGCCTGTGCTGTGAGACTGGTGGGACTGGAGTCATGTTGTCAGATATTAGACTATCTTACTTCCCTTATTCAGTTTTCTTCTCCAATACTACAATATTTGTTTCTTCAAATGGTCATTTATGGCTGCCCTCCTTGGGCATTCATAATACTCAGGTCTCCATGCTACAGTAGCAATGTATTCTGGTAATAGAAGTTTGGCTGTGTTCCCAGAAGTAAGAGGCTTTCCCTGACTGCCCCTCCACACCGCGGAATCCTTTTTCATGGCCATTAGTGTAAGCAGGCAAAGCTGGAGAGCCTGCTGTGAGGCTGCATGCATTTGCATTTGTTGATGTGTACTGAATGTCTCAACATTGCTCTCAGGATTATGATCACTATGATGTATTTCAATTTTTTAAAATAAATTCTGTTAGCATTTCCTTCAGGTGAAGTGAACAAATTTCTTACACACATGTTATAACCATATGAGTGTCGATGCCAGCCTCAAAAATAGAAAGCTTTGCGGTGAGTACATTATGTAATATCTGATGTTATCAAATAGACTGAATGTGCTCTCACACAATAAATTCACTGTGAACAATCCAGCAGTTACACCAAAGCTGTTCAAATTTGAACTCCTACAGGAGGTTAACTTAAAAAAGGGGTTCACGTTAGATAAAGCTGTCTGAAGTCTGGATTTAGCACTCCTCAGCCTAGAAGCATTACAACATCCTGCCATGAGTTGAAATATTAATGCTTTTTTGATTCAGTACTATTACCAGTGCACAGCTTCTTGCATATTGTTTGCTAGGTTTTTTCTTCTTTACTCAGAGAATGTAAACAGAAGGGCCTTCAAAGGAAGTGTGAAACCAGGATGGCATTATGTTGGCAGGAAAATGGTATGATTTTCAACTCAGTGTGAGCTATATTTGGATTTAATTCTACAGTACTGTATATCAAAAGACAGTGGTTGCCATTGCACCTCTCCTTTGCCACAGGATGTTGCGGACTTCGAATGGGTGATGTGGTTCTCTACATTCCGCAATCATATCCTTTTTGCTCTCGCCGGTCATGTGATCTTTGCCAAGATATTCACCCTGATAGCTCCAAAGGTGTGTGCATGCGTGTGTGGTAGACACAGAAAGATGTAGTGTGAATGTCCATCAGATAGAACTGTATTCAGACTCCATGCAGGTATAGCTGCATTGTACTGTATGTGTGCACTGTACATGTACATGTGTGTTTGTTTGTATGTATGTTCTTACACCTGTGAGTTAACACAAGCTTTGCTCCAGTCAGCGTCACACAGCAGATTTTATCTAACAGGTGCTATAAACACATTTAAAGCGAAGCTTCTTTTTACTGATGTAATCAAATTCAGGTCAGTTCAGTGCAATTTATTTCTCTATTCTACTGAGCAAAATGGTTTTGTTATGCTGTATATTTGTACTGCAAGGTCTAATATCATATTAACTTGATGCATGAGCATGACTTACATTCCTCTGATTGCAACATTTCTGTGTATTCTATCTATTATTCTTTCTCATGAATATTTTGGCATATTTAAAACAGTTCATTATGTTTCAAACTTGTTTTCTGTGTTGTTTCATGCTTACAATGAAGATTGGTATAGATGGATGTAAGGTAACATTAATAAACTTGTAAATTTAATAACATTTGTCACGTGTTTCATTTAAACCACTGATAGCTGAACAGTAGATTCATTTCACACAAATGAATCATTCCATCCTAAAGTACATCCACTGGTGTAGATTCTACTGTGTTACTGTACTAACACCACTCTTCGTGTGTGTTGCATTACATCATGAATTGTACAAAAATCCTGTGACGATGTTACACCGACGCTGGCCCCTCTTTACCCACAGCACAGATCCTTAATCTTTGGTGTGTACGGTGGTTTGGCAGTCCTGGTCACCATGGGCTGGACCTTCATGGCTCTGGTTCTATCTCATTGCATCATACTCTACAGCGTTGCCCTGGTCAAGAGGAAATGGATGTGCTTTGTAGCAGGCTTGACCACACTGGCCTCCATCAAGCTGGAGCCCTATAACTCCTGGCAGGTGAGTGGGTGGTTCCAACTTTAAACCTCAAATCAGCAGGCGGGCGGGCAAGCTCCATGCTGTAGGCGCAACAGTGCTGAATTCTCAGTTGTCTGATAAAGAATGAGCCACAGGTATTTTAAGGACATGTATAGAACAGGAGAAGAATCTTAAAGTTCATTCTTTAATGGAAATGTTGCCAGTGGAAACCATATGATTAAATTTTCTGCCTTTTGAATGAGCTGAAGGTTTTGTAAGTTACAGTAAACTCATGGAAAACATGAGGCTGAGAGAACAGATTTGAAAAAATAAATAATAAGAAAACAAGTGAAAGAATACATAGAGATGATATTAACAGAAATATACATTACAATACCTTAGACTATAGAAAAAGATGAGCCCATATTTGTGCAAAAGGTATCATAACAAAAATGTTGTGTGCTGTGCATAATATGAATATAGATATGTTAAAGTACACTGTATGGCTCATATAATAGAATAGAATAAAATAGAATGCAGTATTTTTTAACATATCCACATGTTGCACAGTCATAATATATTATGAAATTTATTTCAGAGAAATTATAAAGAATACCACCATGTTGTATAAGTTAAGTATTTCTATGTAAATGTTTTTTACAGTTTAGGCTTTAAGTGACCGCACCACACTGCATCGTCCTTTTCACTGGTCCACACTTCTACATTATGCTCAGAATACCGTACCTCTGACTTCTATAGGAATCCTTGGTGACTGGTTCCTTCAGCCTGCAAGACATCCTGTTCTATGGCGGCTGTGGCTTCAGCATCATACGCTGTATGAGCTTCGCTTTGGAAAACTGTGAAAAGAAGGATGGCAACTACACATTCTTTGACTTGCTGAGATACAACTTCTACCTCCCCTTCTTCTTCTTTGGACCTATCATGACTTTTGACAGGTATCATGCCCAGGTGAGGATTTTAAGATTAAACTGAATGTGGTGAGTGACTGTGGACAAGTTTAGTGAGCCAGCACTCATGATTGATATATGAGAAGGCTCCTGGAGGTTCATGTAATACCCTCATGGTGTGTCATTTTAGAACAGCTGATGAAACTGTGTAAGAATGCTGATGTGTTTATATTATTTAGTCTGAAAGCCAAGGACAGAATCAGAAAAGAAAACCTTTAGTCTCTTTAGTGCTCTCTTTTAAACTTGTTTAGATTCTCATTTTAAATCACAATGTAAGAATTTGTCAACATAACCTAGTTCAAAATCTGTGTATTACTACTACTGTTAGTTAAACAGTAACCTTTGCACACATCACTTACTATTATTCCAGCTATAGTGGACAATCACATCATATTACAGAAGAGTGCCGACTTGTTTGCAATACTGAAAGGTTTTATTTCACAGGCAAACACTGCCCAGCTGACACGCAAAGAGAGGGAGATGTGGAACATCACCACCAAGGCTTTGTTGCACCTGGGAGTTATTCTGTTGGTGGACGTCCTCTTCCACTATCTTTACATCTTGACAATCCCCAGTGACATGAAGCTGGTCACCAGACTCTCTGACTGGTGTCTGGGTGAGTTACATACAGTATCAGTAAAGGGTCTGGTACATCTGGCACTGATGTTTGTGTTTTGTTTTTATAAATGCTGATCATTTTTTTTCATTATTCAATGAAACTATAGTCAGAATCAACCATTTTTATGCCATAAAAAATACAAATGATTACTGTATACTCTTAGATTGAATTCTTTTCGGAGTAGAAATGACCCTTGAATTACACTGATACCATGATAGGACACCTAAACCTTTCACAGAACCCCAGACAAACTGACTCTGTCAGGGTTAGCTTCTCTTTTATTCACCTGGCTAATGGTAGAAGAATTGTTGGGATACTTAGCAGCTGAAGTAAACAATACATACAACTGCAAAGAAAATACAATTTTATTACAGGTTTTCCAAATGAATTTCACAAAGCTTTTGTTGGTATTAGGCATTATTGCTGACCGACACCCAATATTTACTAAAAGGCTAATATTTAGTTTGGCTTGTGGCATCATGATATTTCAATCCAAGTATTATATGTTTTATCAAACAACTTCTACCACTTTATTAGAAGTTTTATGAGCTAGCGTCAACATAAACTGTGTATCTCTGCAGCTGGCCTTGCTTATTCCAACCTGGTGTATGACTGGGTGAAATCAGCTGCGATGTTTGGTGTCATCAACACTGTGGCTACACTGGACCACCTGGACCCTCCTCAGCCCCCCAAGTGTATCACCATGCTCTATGTCTTTGCTGAGACGTACGTGTGACTCGCACTAGTTGTGTGGCGTCGAAATAAATCACTGTGTAGTTTGTTTGTTAACTGTGTTAAACCATAAAAGATTTACATGAAATATTTCTGTCTTTTTAGGCACTTTGACAGAGGCATCAATGACTGGTTGTGCAAGTGAGTGTCTGAAAGGGAATATTGTTAATCCTGTGTAGAAAAGATAATCCTTCACTGAGTTAAATCTGAGTTTAAATTTTGCAGGTATGTTTATGACTATATTGGAGGGAATCACAATAAAATCTTCAAGGAGCTCTTGGCAACTTTCTGCACCTTTGCTATCACCACTTTGTGGCTTGGCCCATGTGAAGTGGTTTATGTCTGGTCCTTTTTCAACTGCTTTGGCCTCAACTTTGAACTATGGGTGGCTAAATTCTTCTCTATACCACCATTTTCTAACATTGAGGTGAGGAAAATGATAACACTGAACAATTTTCCAAAGGGATACTCAATAGGAAGTTATATGGAACTTTAAATTTTATGCCACATCCTTGAATGTTTTCCTGCATGACTTCTGTTTCTAGGGTGCTATGGGTGAAGCCATGTCACGCAGGATCCGTGGTGTGTTCAATGCTGCCAACTTCTGGGCCATTGTCCTCTACAATGTTCTCTCCCTCAATAGTTTGGAGTTTGCCAAACTGGTGGCCAGAAGACTGATTTTCAAAGGTAGGGAATGGCAAGAGCTTTCTTTCACATAAAAAAAACAAAGAAGGAGTTGTAGAGTGGTTACAGGATTTTCTGCAGGTGAACATCTGCTCAAGGCACAGCATGAAGAATGCTGCATTCTTTTAAAGCTGTACCTTTCTGTCATTTCCCCCCCACATACATTTACACTTCTTTCCCTTTTTCTTTCCATTTCCAGGTTTCCCTCTGTCTACCCTCTCAGTGTTACTTGTGACCTACTGTGGTGTGCAGCTGGTGAAGGAGAGGGAGCGACAAAAAGCCCTGCTGGAGGAACCAGAGCCAGTGAAGCCAGTTGATGATGGCAAAGAAAAGGCCGAATAAACAGACAGAAAAACACAGAGTTTCACCAACTTCAGGGTCAGCAGCCCCCCTCTGTTCCATCCTTGGTCTTGCGAACTGTAATCAGAACAGACTGTAAAAAGCAGTCAGCACCTAGATTGTTCACAAGCCCATGTTTTTTTGTATGTCAGATGTGAGACAATGTTTCGAACTGTGAAATATCCACAAGTGCACTTGCCGGAGATAATTGCCACAAGCCTTGGCACAAAGTCACCAAAAGTGCACTTTGGATTTGTATTTTATCCGAACAAAAGATTGTTTATCAAATTATATGCCTGCCAAATATTTTATCTTACTATATTTAAGAGTATATATAAGAACATACATACAATATTGTAAAGGAACAACTACTGTTGTCAGTGTGGCTGCTTCTGTGTTCATTTTTGATTTTTGATTTTTTTTTTTTGGACCTTCCTCTTCTATTGTTTAAATCATTGTCAACATGAATATTTTTAGCCAGATGATGTCTTAATTTTGACAAAGGCATCTTAGATCCTAATCATCACAACTTTAAAGGGTTAAAACTTGAAAACACCTGGAAGGTTGCTAAGAATGAAGTTAAATTATGAAAATGAAATGGTGCTGTGGACATCTTCCACACTGCTTGCAATGTGTATTTGGTTTACTTTCACTGAGTGAAAATAAGTCACAATGTATGTGACTGTCCTCTTTATTTTAGTTCTGACTGAGAATGTATTAGGTCTATTTTAATGTTGAAAAACTGAATGTACTTCATCTGTCCAGAGAACAATAGCTTTAATCCCCACAGTGTCATGTTGCTGTAGGTGTAACATTTGGGCATATCTGTTCCCCACCCTCTCTCATATGATTCAGGCCCTCAGTTTGAAAGGCAGCTGGCCCAGCAGGGAATGTGAGTCAGCCTTGTCCTGCCTGTCACCAAAACCTGCTGTGTGTCTTCACTGCAGCAGGCAGAGGGAAGACCTGTATACAGATTTTACCATCTTTTCTCATTGTGGGTTTTTTAAAAATTGTTATTAAGTATAATTAAGTGTTCAGTTTGAAACCTGGAATAAAGTTTTATTTTTATCCTGGAGTGACACTTATGCTTTGACTTTGTCTTGTTGCTGTGTAAGTCCATCCATCATCTATATCGCTCCGGGGCATTGCTAGACATAAAGCTCTACTGGGGCATAGGACCCTCATAACTCAAATCCCAGTTTTTTTTTTATGTTTATTGCTTAGCCCACTATTCCACTGTCTGCTGCTACTACAACTACTGGGAAAGGTAAAAATGTAGATATTAACCTTTATGAAAATATTTCAACATACATTTATGGCGTAACGACTGAGAGGAGTAGTATATGTAGCACCGGAAATCAAGGGAATAATGAGGGACCAGGTGAAAGTGATAAGTGGTGATAGAGGACTGGGGTAAAGATGGAGTGGGTGGGTGAAGTGGAAAAGGGACCAAAAATAACAACACGGGATTGAAGAACGAGAGCAACAATAACAGTCTCTGCTTTTGAACACAAGGTGAACAGCCTGTACCACTGAGTGAATACTGCCCCAAAGAGCCCAGACACCAGGACACAATTTTAATATCAAGCGTGATTTTATGGTTTTTATTTAATCCAATCGTGATTTTAAACAGTCTAGATCAAGAAATGAATTTTCAAGCTCAGCATTAATTCAAATGCCCTCTCTGCAGAGTTTCTGATTTACAATCAAAGATAGTGGGTGATATGGTGTCCACGTTTTCTGACCACAAACAGGCTGCTGTTCACCGTTCTGTCAGAATCTAGTCAGTCATCTGTTTCAGTCAGTCTTTTTTCATTAAAGATGGATTTGCAGTTGCAACATTTACATTAACAACATCCTCACCAGTGGTGTTTGCTTTGACATTTTTTGTCACGATAGTGAAACTGAATAAGCATGTTTGGTTGGATAAAACAGTGCTGAGAAGATCTCAGTAGTGGGACTATTGGTTTGTAGAGGCTTCAACGAATTATGAAAACAGATTTTGGGGTCAAAATTGTAGGTTTATTCTAAATAAAATCAGCCTATATAAACATGACCTTAGTAGTTTGACTGATGATTGTTTCTAATGATTTTCCAGCTGTGTGCACTAGAGGATGTTAGGACATAAGCACATGGTCATGTTTCTACTCTGTTTAAATGTTTGAGCCTAAGCTTGTCATCTATTATAGGGCAGCAACTAATTATGTTAATCATCAATTAATATGCCAGTTATTTTCTTAACTAGTAGATTAACTGTGATCCAAAAATGCCTTTTTTGTGACAATCAACAGTCCAGAGGTTTGTCATTGTTTAACTTATCACAAAGGTCTAAGAAAATCAGCAAATATTAACATATGAGAAGCTGAAACTAGAGAGAGAGTGTCATGGCATTTTTGCTTACAAAATGAATTAATTACTCAACAAAGCAGTCTAATTAATTTTCTGTCAGTCAGCCCCTCCAACTCCTCATATACAGTCTTTCACTGGGTAAAGTACAGGGATGATGCCAACAGTAGTTACTTTCTGGCAGTAACTTTGTTCTGTTTCAAAAATATAGCTTAATACAACAGACACACAGGGAGCTACATGGAGAACATGCAAATTCTGCACAGAAAGGCAACGGGTCAGCAAGGGCTCGAACTCAGAACCTTCTTGCTGTGAGACGACTGCTAAATACTGCGCAAAGTTTGTATTAAAACATTTTCATACTTGCATTTTGTTTAAATAGATGAAAACAATTTAATATGTTAATGATACAGTGTGTCTGATAGAGAAATATTGTCACCTAGCATCACAAGATGGACCAGTTTGACCAAAGCTGAATGATGATGACTACACATGCATGGTTACATTAACCGTGGTTCACCCACACTGGTATTTGCAGTCCGTTTGCCTGATTGAAGCTTTTCTGTAGACATTTTTTGTATGAGTTAAAATAGATATCAGGTTCCAGAGACTATTTTCATTTACACAACAGCTAATTGGTTTTGCTTTTATTTTAATTTTAGATAAAGGAAACACAGTTGCCATTTTCAGCCAGTAGGTGCCAGTATTTGTTTATTACTCAGCATCTATCACTGGATCTATGAGTACAAACTATATACTGTATATAGTCATATTTTAGCAATTTAAATAATACATGAGTCACTTTGGTATTCTTTTACTCAGGATAAAGTCCTCCATGGTGCCTCGATAGCCAAATGGTTACAGGCACGGTGTGTGTACAGCGTGGGTGGATTGAGTTCAGCAGCCGACCTGTGTCACAGGTCCTCCCCCGTCTTCTCTGTCCACTTGCAGTAGCTCCACAAAAATGACAATTTAAATAAAGGCTAAATGCCCTGAAAAATAACCTTTAAAAAAGGCTTAAAATCACAAACATTTCTTGCAACTTTTTATAAAACTCTGTTGTCCATGGGATCAGTTTTTTTTTTTTAACATGAGACTTCAGGGAAGGTTGAATATGTATTGCATTGTATGGATTTGTTTTGGGTACCTTACTAAATCAAATGAAGCTTCAGTGTAAACCTTTTGGTTCTTAGTTATACAGTATATTTCTATACTCCAAAAAGCTATACCCAAGTGTCAGTCAGAAACATTATAAATAAAACCAAAAAACTGTTTCAACAGATACGTAAATATACCTGCTGTAAAAAAAAACATTTTTACAAAACATTTGAGAAACCATAAGTAATCTAGTTAGTGGGAGTTTTGTTGATCATTTCCCCTGATCCACAGGAACGGTTAGTGTGGGTCCAGTCCAGATATAATACACTGGCCAGTTTAAGAAAATACTGTGTAGATATTACAGAAAGGAGAGATTATGTGACACTTTACATTGACGCATGGGGCAGCTGTACCTCGGGTAGAGCAGGTCGGCCCCTGATCGCAGGGTTGACGGTTTGTTTTCCGTTCTCCCCAGTCCACATGATGAAATGTCCTTGGGCAAGACACTCAACCCCAAGTTGCTCCTGGTGGCCAGGCCAGTGCCTTGCTCAGCAGCTCAGCTACCATCAGTGTGTGAGTGTGTGTGAATGGGTTGATGGATGAATCTGTAAAGTGCTTTGTCCAGGTATGGTAGAAAAGTGCTATACAAGTCCAGTCCATTTACCATTTAATGCTCATTGCTTCTGTAAAAAGGCAGAGCTCCAACATGTTCTGCCTGGCTGTGCTGGCTGAAGCTGTGGCTGTGGACATTGTTATGAATGTAGTCAGTGTTACACCCATAATGAACGAAGGTATCGCAGCCAATGTACAGCCATAGCTGAAGCCACTATCACAGTTACAGCCGGCGC